TTCAGGAGCTTCTTTATTGGCTTCTCTACATTTGTATGATCTGCTCTCTCTCTTGCCCAGAGAGGGAGTTTAAAGCACAGCTATGATTGTGCCACACTCCCTACAACTCTTCAAAGGTCACCCTTGCCTCTGGCCTAGAAGGCTCACTCCCACTGGCCAGTCCCCTGACATCTCAGTTCCCCCTTCTGCCCCCCTCTCTCCAGCTCGCCCCTCCCTTGCCTCACCCTCTCTCTTCTCCCCTTACCCCCAGTTTAGTCTAACACTCTTCTGCTCCTCTGGGTACTTGCATGTTCAGGTCATCCACCAGAACAGCCTTCCCTCTCTCTAAGAACCACCTGCCATGCTGCTCTCCCTGCAACTAGGTGACATTCTCCTTGTGATCCCTCTGTACTTTGTGCATAATAATTATTTGCTGAGTAGTTATTGTCTAATTATTTAGCCTTTGACCTCTTCATTACAACATGGTCTCCTGAGATCGGCACTGTTATGGGCTACGTTCTGTCCCCCCAAATTCATATGTGACTATGCTTGGAGACAGGTCCTTAAAGAGGTAATTAAGTTAGAAGGAAGTTACCAGGCTGGGCCATATTCCAGTATGACTGTGTCCTTATGAGAAGAGAAATTTGGACACAGACATACACAGAGGAGGCCCACGTGCAAGCACAGGGTGAAGGTGGCCATTCACAAGCCAGGGAGAGAGGCCTTGGAAGAAACCACTTTGCTGCTACCTCAGACTTCTAGCATCCAGAACAGTGAGGAAACAAATGTCTGTTGTTTTGCCACCCACTCTGTGGTGCTCTGTCACAGCAGCCCTAGCAAACTAACACAGGCATCGTGGATTTGTCCACCTCTGTTTCCATAGCACCAAACACAGTTGCTTTCTGCTTTACCTACCAGAGCCCCGCCAGGCAGAAGCTCCAGGGGTGCTCAGCATCTTGAGCTGGATTGTCTTGCCTACATTCTCAGTGATGCTGGTCCTGGCACAAGGAGTTGTAGGGAACAGCTGTTTTATAAATGAGTACAACAGGGAAGGATGGAGAGCAGGTGCGCAGATGCAGAGCAAGTGGCCTGAAATGACCATGATAAAAAGGGCCACATCCTCTGATTTCTCCTGGCAGGAATGTGCTTACCCCCTTTCTGGGCAGGAGAGGGCTTCTTCCTTGCTATATTGGTACTGCTAATTCTTGCTAAGAATCTCTAGGCAAGAAGCAGCTCGAATCTCATCCTTGAGTGGGCTGGATCCCTCTGCCGTGTGCAACCACTGCTGTTTTCCTCAGGCACAGGGCTTTTCATGTTTCTAGTTACTCATTCAACACCGGCCTTCCTCTCTAGACTGTAGCTCCACACTTCCTCACCGTGTCTGTAGGGGCAGCCTGGCACCTGAGTGCTCCCTTGTCTTGTGTGTCCCACTGAATGGACGGATGAAAGCTGGAGCCGCCAAAGGTGCATGGATGGGTAGACTTCCTCCATGCACTTCCTTTCTGCCTCCTGGCTTTCGTCTGGTTCTATTTTTTGGGACACCGAAGAATGTGATTTCCTCCAAACTGAGAATCTTACTCCATATTTATGTTCAAGTCTGTCGATATTTCCTATGGAACTTTTTTGAGATTTCGTGTTTATATCTCACCTTCAGAAATACAGTGCAGTATCTCTGATGGTTCACTTTACTTTATCAGACTTTGCTAGGATGTTTCTAGGGGCAGCTTCCTGGGGTAGGTATAGCTCTGTGGAGTGGGCATCTGCTGGTTTTAGCTGGTAAGTCACAATTTCCTTCAGTTTTGCCACCAGCACTATAGGGATGTTCTCTGGCCTCCATCTTCAATCCATGTGGTTCAGCTGGATGATAGCTCAGGGACAGCCTTTATCTCAGGTACCATAAGTTAGCAAATTCCCACCCTCTGTCCACAATGGCTGAGTCAGGGGGGTAAGCATGGGTCCAGACTGAACCAGTGGCCTCAACCCCAAAATTTTGTCTGGGACCACTGAGAAAGAGAAGCTCTCTTTCTGCAGGGATGGCTGAGGTGTTGGTCATCCCAAACCTGCTGGTGATGTGGGGAGAACCTGCCTGAGAGAAAGGAGCCAATATGGAGGGCAGCAAAGACAAGAGATACCCAAGAACAGCCTGTGAGTGTGTTGTTCCAGCAGTGCCTGAAGTAAAATATACCTAAGCTAGCTTCTTAGTGGATACACAATTGGTATTTTGGGCAGGACATTCTACACATCACAAGATGTTCACCATCCCCAGTTCCCACTAGCAAAATGAAGGAAGTTTTCATAGTCACTGTAACAATCAGAACCACCCCCCTCATTTTCATGTATCCCAGATGGCTGCCCTTGGCTTTTCAGTTACTCAACTCAAGAATTTCCCCTTCATTTATTCCATTTGGTTTTCTGACATTTTCAAATTATGACTAATGACAGTCTGTCTATATTTTTGGGTGTCAGGGATTTAATCCTTAGCATGTCAGTTGATCTTGCCTGTCAGAGCACAGGACTAGTTCTGAGAGGAGCCAATGGCCGGCACAGCTACCTGTCAATGTGGACAAATGAAAAGTTGTCCAATTCTTGTTCTGGAAAACAGAACAGAGGGATAGACTGCAGCATATTAGAGCCAGCCTTGGATATTGGGGAGACAACAGCTGGACCTAAATCAGGACACTTCCAGCTCACAAGCCCAAGATGCACTCCCTTGGGGGCAGCCAAATGTGGCTTCCTTTGAGAGATTAAGAGAGCCATTTGGAAGGGTAATATCAATTGAAAATGAGATGAGAACCTCAACATATTCAAACCAATAAGGATCCTTATAGGATCCATAAAGACGGTGAGTGGGTCCCATGAGACCAAGCCACGGTGGGAGCTGGCTTGGGGAGGGAGGGATTCGGGCCTCAGCATTTTCTCAGAGCAGCACAGGCTTTATGGGGGGATGCTGTGTCCTGCATCCACATGTCAGGTCTGAGAGGAGAAAAATTTATCTCAATGTTGGAAGGGACCTAGAGATGCTCTAGTCTTTCCTTCCCTCTAGTATGAGCCTAAGGTGTGTTCCCTTAGGCATAGCTCAGAGCAGGTTGCTAATAACCATCAATAGCTCCCCCACCTATAGGACCAAGCACAGACTCCTCTTAGTATTCAAGCCCCGTCAACCACAGCTCCCCCATGCACTAATGTGAGGTCTTACATAGGGCATCAGGCCTTGTGTTGCCTCTGATTCTCCATCTATAAATAGTATGATAGCGGTGCCCATCTCAAAAGGTGGTTCCAGCTGATAACAGAGTGTTGGCTGCTCAACCATCATTTTAGGGTTTCTGCTGCATTCAGTAAAGGTCAAGATATTGGATGTTGGAAGTCCTGGCTCTGCCACTTATTTAACTCAGAGCTAATATAATTTCCTAGCATCTTGATTTCTTCACCTATAAAATGAGAATAAGGACCACATTCAAGGAGATGCTATAAAAATGAAGTGAAATAATGTATGTAAATAAAGTATAAGTGAAAGATTTTGGATAGAATATCAGTCCCTCCCTTTGGAAAAGCCCCAGGCCCTGGCCTCCCCCACCCTCTGAAAAGCACAGTTTAGGGAGAGATTCACAGGGAGGTATCTGAGGGGCTTGGCTCCCCCGCCCATAATCGTCACACAACTCCGTGCATCTCTCCCAGATTCACCCATCTTGTTAACAGCCCGTTGTGTGTTATCCTAGCAGCTCTACGGAGGGCTGGCTGCTCTTACACCCTGTAGCTTGCCTGGCAGCACCCAGTATGGCTCTTCATGAAGAAATTTAAATGGCCTATGGAGCTTCTCTCCTGGGAAAGAAGACCCAATGGTCCCCAGGGCAGACATGCCATCTTGTAAGTTAGAGGCAGAGGTGTGCCTCCTGCTCATAAAATCCACAGGACTGAGGCCTCTGCTGGGGGTTCAGCTTACTGGTAGATGGTGACAATTGTCCACCGTGGAGGCTGAGTGGTGGAACTTCCTTGATTAGAAAGCTGTTCTCCCTGTGGGTGTTAAATCGGCAAAGGGAAAGAAGTCCTGTTTGCTTAGCGGGCATGGATTCACAGATAGAAGTTATGTGATTTCAATGTTAAAATGGCACCAGGTCCTGTGAGGTTGCCATAGCAACCTCTATAGTCAGGGTACCCCTGCCCCACAGACTTGTGCATTGTCCTGCCAGGTACCCTTGCCTGACATATTGTGAAGGGCACTGCCTGCATGTCCTCTGTCCGCTCTTCTCATGTGCTCACTCTTGACATTTTATTCCTGTAGAGGGTTTGGGGTCCTGCTTCTGGAGTAGTCTTGAGTCTAGGTCATAGCATTCTGTGAGCTATTGGACCTGAAGCATTCATTTCACCTCTTCTAACCTTGATTGCTCATCTAGCGAATGGGGATCAGAGTTTCACTGAGGGTGGGAGGGTTATGTGAGCAAGTAGTATACTTTCTTAATATAGTGCTGGGCCCTCACCAGACTCCCCACTCATAACCTGTGCTTATACACATTCATTTAATTTTCGTAGAAGAGTAAAATGGCTCCTTGCTAAGCTCTCTTCCAGCTCGAGGATATATGTAATAGTCAATGAATACGTGGTATGTGTCTTGGCTACGAGGACAGTGAAAGCCTATTTCAGGAAGCACCCTGACATGTTTCAGGCTGGTAGGGCAGCCCTCTGCCAGGCATTGGTGTATCAGGTTGATCTGGGACAGGCCTACTTTCCTAGAGGTTGGTGGCCTCCTGAAGTCCCTCCTGTTAGTGGATTCCAGGTACTCTCCTCCTTGTGCTTCAGGGAACAGCTCCCCACAGTCCAGGTGCTCTGAGGGCTAGAAAGACCAGGGCAGGGCTCTGAGTGTGCTGGTCTGGGAGGTCAATTCCAGGCACTTCTGGAATTGATGGACTTGAATACTGACACAAAACATTTTCCCACAAGAAAGGAAGATGACTTATTTATTTATTTTTTTTATTTTTTATTTTTAGGAAGATGATTTATTTGCAAAAAGTCACTCCACCTCTCAGGCAAATGAGCCACTGGAGGTACTGCACACCCACCAGTGGGTGGCTGGCTCAATACTTAGTGCCCGGCTAGTGCATCTCTGGCATGTGTTGGACATGGCTGTCTTGACATTCCTGGTCTCCCTAATGGCCCAACACCCTGTGCTTCCCACATGGAAGCATTCTGCAATGGTGGGTGTGTGAGCCAACGTGCCGGCCAGCAGGGACACAGTAAGGCACCTGCCTTGTCACACTCTTACCCACTTAGGCCTTTCTGCTCGGGTCCCTCTCAGCCTCTGCCCCACCCTCACTGCTTGAATCATCCAGACACAAGACCTCTCCATGTTCATTTTTATTTAAAGACTCAGAAACACAGGCATCATAGTTTGTCATCACTGTCAATTCTTTCAAAATCACACGCTGACATTTGTGTATAACAAAAACATCGTGTGTGTGTGTGTGTGTGTGTGTGTGTGTGTGTATGTGTTTGTGAACTGTGCAAAGTACAAAGAACTTCCCAGCCAGGCAGCTGAACTTGTTTGGGGTACCAGAGCCTGGCATTCACACAGTGAGGCTGCCAGGGAACTGGCTGCCCACTGTCTCCCCACTCCACTTCTGAGGCCCTTAGGTGGACCAGCTGTCCCTGTCACTTCAGTGCCTGCGGACCTCCGTGGTGGCTATGGACTCTACTGCATTCCTCAAAGCAAGTCACTTTGGCTGCCAAATGCCACTAATAACCAGGATGTGTAAATTGCTGGGTCAGGGTAGAGTGTGAGGGTTCAGACAAGGTGTTGGTTTCATCTTAGTAGCCAAAATGAGTTTGTTCTGTAGGGCCAGATGGTGGTGCCCAGGGCAGGGTGCCGGGATCAAAGGTGCCCCTTCCTCCTTTTTCTCCTCCCGGCTCCCTTGGATTCTGTGTCTGCAGCAATGCCTCAAATCCCTTATTCTCCTCATTGTACTTCCAGTCTCTACACCAACATCTGTACTGCCTGATAGGGAAACATTTATTAAAAAAAAAAAAGACAGAATCATCACAAGGTGGTAATTCTGTTCCTGCTCCTCTCTGTGGGCTAAATGGTCATGAAGGCTGATGGATTTGGTTGAATGTGTTTGAAAACAGCTCAGAGCACGGGTGCTGATCGTGCATTTCCCTGCTCTCTGTGAGTCTCACCTGAAAGGATGTCCTGGTGATGGCTGGCCCATGGCACTGCTTCCTCCCCAAGGTCATACCAATGCCTGCCCCAGCTCTGCTGCAAGAGGAGCCAGTTGACACCTTTCAAAGGCATGGGATGCTGGCCCCAACTCTCTGCTGTGAGGGGTGCTGGGCCCTGCTGGGCTGCTGCCTCACCCACAGTCACTAGGCTGTTCAGCAATTCCTACCTACCACGAGCATCATGTAGGCAGTGGCTCAGAGAGGAAAGAAGGTCCAAGTTAGTCTATTTGTTGCTTGGTAACTGTCTTCATTTTTTTAAAAAAGGCTTTCCTTATTATCTGGGGATTTGAGTTAGTTTCGGTCTCACTGGGGAACATGTGTCTCAGCATGTTAATCCACGCACATTTTTGGTGATGGCATGATTTTAAACATGCACATGATTTTTGTGCATTACAGGCAACTAATTTGGCACTGATGGCAAATGGTTACCTTCTGGTTGTCATTAACACATGTATGGGGCTCCCCAGGTTTAAGCCGGATTTTGTCTTTCTTTGATTCAGAACAAATTTCTCAACTCTTATTAAATCTATGCTCATCTGGAGAAGGGAGAGGAGCCTTTGTCTAGGTGTGATATCACCAGCATGGTAGCCACCTGGCAGTAACAAATAGCCAAGTAACATCCCCAAATAGGAACTCTGAAAATAAACATTTGGTATTTCAAAGGCATCACATCAGGCGAGGGAATGTGTTTCTGGATTTTGTTGCATCTTTCAAAACCAGGCAATCTTACATTGCCAAAGGCTAATTTAGTCAGCCTAATTTAAACTTGAGTAGCTTTGTAAAAATAAAAAGAGGGGGCTTATGAATTGTGACTTTGAGCTGATAGGAACGTATTCTTAAGGTCTGACTCTCTTGAGAATGAGACTGCCTTCTCCAGTCTGTGTCTGGGAGGTCTGGGCTGCCGGGCTCAGGAGGAGGCTCTGACGGACCCCGCCCAGGGCAGGGTGCCGGGATCAAAGATGCCCCTTCCTCCTTTTTCTCCTCCCAGCTCCCTTGGATTCTGGGTCTGCAGCAATGCCTCAAATCCCTTGTTCTCCTCATTGTACTTCCAGTCTCTACACCAACATCTGTACTGCCTGATAGGGAAGCATTTATTAGGAAAAAAAAAAAAAAAGACAAAACCATCACAAGGTGGTAAATCTGAACTCTGGTTAAAAACTGCACATTTCAGTACCAAGAAGTCATATTTTGATTATGCTAATTGTATTCATTTTCTCTAAAGCAATAAAAGGAAAATTCTGCCTTCCTAGGCTGGGGTTGACCTTGATGTTCTTTTTACTGCCACACAAAAGCAATTGCAGTGACCCTTCCTTGAAATGGTTCCAGTTCTTGAATAGTAATTACCACTGTCTAGACATAGCACGGAGCTTTGGTAAGGGTTTAAAGAAATTGGTTTTTACCAAACTCCTTCCAACCACTATTTAAGTGGTTCCCTCTTCTCCACGGAGCAGTAGCCAACACTGATGTTGAGTACGTGGGCTTTTCAGAGTTTTCCAAAATTCACATGCTACGTATAAAAATTCTGCCCACTCGATATCAACTTAGATATTTTTTCTTTCAAGCTCAACCAAGTCATTACTGGTTTTACAAAAAGGCAGCACCAGATGTATGAAAAATAGGCAATGTATGACCTATTAGAAATATAGAAAGTCTAACAGCTTTACCTTAAAAAGATGTTGTAAGAAAGAAGCAATGCAAAGGGACAGTGGCGGCAAAAGAAATGTGTGGCTTATAACATGGGCAGGAAACAAAGCCAAGTGCGATCTGGCGCCTGCGATGGGAGCTGTGCGCTGGGCTGGCCCGGGGACCCCCTGGACCTGGTGAAGGCCCTGGGCCGGGAACACCCTTGCTGTGCGGCCGGGTGGCAGGTGACTGAGGTATATAGAGAGGTGATGGAGCAATCTGGATCCCCCACAGGAAGCCCTGGGCAGCCCATCGAGACATCATGCTGACGCCCTGGGCCCTGGCCTGCGTGGGCAGCCAGCAAGCCCGCCGCCGCTTAGCAGTCCGGCACAGAGCAAATCAACCCGCATCAACAGCTTCTCTTTTCAATGACATTTCTTTACAGTTTACGCAGAGGGAAGCATTTTTGTCGGAGATGCACCCCGGGGTGCACTCTCGGCTGGGGGCTGTGGGTGGAGGCGCGACCCTGCGTCCCTCAGCTCCCGTCCTCGTCCAGGGTGGCCTGCCAGGAGCCTTGAGAGGGACCCAGGACCCTCGGCGGCCTGGACCTCCTCTCTTCAGCCCCTGGGGACCCCGGGGAGCCTCGGTGCCCAGGAGCAGGGTGTGGGGGGCGGGTCCTCAGAAGCTCTCCACAAAGCTGCCTGGGAAGAGACCGGTGCGGCCGTTCCTCTGCAGGGTTCCCTTGTACCAGCCGTCCTCTCGCTTCTTGTGCACAAAGACGATGTCACCTTCCTTCAGCTCAATCTCCGCCTCACTCTGGGGAGGGTATGAGACTACCACGCGGTACCTGGGGGAGACAGACACCATACGGGGTGAGCCTGACCCCAAGGCCTGCTCTCAAGGTCAGTCTCTGTTCTTCCCTTCCTTTTCCCTGCCTGTTGTAAATTGTTAAAATTTGGGGCTACTTCCTCCGCTTTTAAAAATTTCTACTTAAAAAAATTTTTTTACAACCTTTTCATCTTTTATTAAAATTTAAAAAATAATTTCCCCTGGTGTCCTCCCAGAGCCCACTCCATGTGGCTGGGACGCTTCCCTCCCTCCGCCCCTCTCCGACCACAGTCTCCCCTGGGTGGGGCAGAGGACAGCCACTGTAGTCCCGGGGCAGACACTGGGAGAGGGCAGGACACGTGGCTGCATCCTCAGTTCTGTCCATCCTGGCTGCGTGACCCAGGGCTACCGTCCTCACCTCCAGAGGGTGGGTTTCTTTCTCTGAAGAGCAGGGAAGTGGAGGACACCTCTTAGGTGGTGGCCCCATGTGATGTGCCAGGTGTTCTCGACATCATGTTGGTAAAATGGTCACCCTTTCTAAATGGCTCCGAAAATCTTAAGAGGTTATGGCCTTAGCACCTGAACTGGCTGAAATCACATGATAATTGAGGCCCAGGTTTTTACATATCTCATTTCTGAAAGACCTGGGTGCTTCCCTGCAGCCTGAGGCCTCTGTGGGGCCCTGTTTTCAGACCAACATGATATAAAATCCAACCAGAGACACGACTGTTCCTGTTGGTCCCTTGAAGGGGAGCTGAGGCCAGAGCTCTGACCCAGCACAGACCCCGGAGGATCCCCTTGGCCACGGCAGGTCCAAGGGATGTGTAGGTACTGCATGCTGCCACCCTCAGCTCCCTGGATCTGAGAAAAAGGTCTAACCCTCTGGCTAGCCCCTCACCAAGAATCTGAAGCCCCTGGGCCAGCACACACCCCACATCCCACACCTGTCCACCAGGCCTCAGAAGACAGTTAAAAACCTAGGGGATCCCTGGGTGGCTCAGCAGTTTGGTGTCTGCCTTTGGCCCAAGGCGCGATCCTGGAGTCCCGGGATCGAGTCCTGTGTCAGGCTGCCGGCATGGAGCCTGCTTCTCCCTCTGCCTGTGTCTCTGCCTCTCTCTTTCTCTCTCTCTCTCTCTGTGTGTGTGTCTATCATAAATAAATAAATAAATCTTAAAAAAAAAAAGTCTTCTAAAATATGACCAGGGGCCAAGGAATGCGTGCCCTGGTGCCTGTATCTCTCAGTGCTTCTCAGCCTGGCTGCTGTCACCTGTCCCCATTCTCCAGCCGGCTACACCCCTGACCCCTCAGGGAGCATCTCAGGGGCAGATACCCGATGCCAGCCCGGGCTGGTAACTCATGGGCGGCGCTGCGAGGCACCCACCTGCCCCACGGCGCATGGAGGCGGCTCCCGGGCAGCAGCCAAGTCCTGACTGCAGCTGGGCTTTGTGGCTGGCAGGTGCAGCTGCTCCGCACTCCTGAAAAGCCCCAGCTGAAAGTCAGTGCAGAGCCCCGCATCCGGAGGGCTATCCTGGGGGTCCCTCCAGGGCACAGAGCTTGCCCACTCTGGCTGCCCACCAGACACTTGCCCACCAGACCCTTCAGTCGGTGTCCCTCAGGGGCTGTGCAGTGCAAACATCGGCGGCCTTCCCCTGCACTCGGGGACGGCGGTGTGCTCACTGCCCTCTGAACGCCTGCGCACTCGCCCGCCACCTCCCTTGCCGTCTCTCTGGGGCTCACCGGTCCACGGGCCGGCCGGGACCCATGCGGTGCCCACGGTAGGTCTCCTGCACTGGCAGGGGCAGGTGAACTGGGGTCAGCAGCACCTATCACCCCACATTCTGGTTGTGTCTCCGGCCTACAACCAGCCCAGTACATAGGAGTGCAGTGACTGTGTGCCCGAGGGGACCTGGGGGGGGGGCCTGGAGAGGGCCTAGGGGCCAGAGGGTGTCGTGGTCAGCCCAGGGAAGGAGCAGCCTGAGAGCCTGGCGGGAGGGGTGAGGCAGCCGCTGGCTGAGGGCAGCTTCTGCTGCTGCTGTGGAAGCTGGGCAGTGTGAGTAGCTGGACTGTGGCCACGCAAACCACCTGGCAAACAGCCTCCCTGCCCAGGGTGTATACCTCACCTCCTGCTGTTGGCCTCCGGCCACAGGAGGGAACACCAGCCAGACGAATGGCCAGGAGCTGGGTGACCCATGGCCTTCAGGGTCCCCCATGAGTAGGGGAGGAGCCGTGTGCTGGGGGAGGGGTGCTGCTGGGCCTCAGAGGGGCACCCCCAGCACACACTGTCTGCTGCTGTCTCCTGGCAGGGGAGGAGGGAAGACGTTCCCTGGGCTGCCAGCTGTTGCCTGGGTCCTGCTGCCCCCATCAGCACAACCACACGAGGGCCCCTGAAGGAGACCATTGGGTGTCCCAGCAGCTCTGTCCTGAGGATTGTCAAGGGGCTCTCTGCACAGGGCCTCTGACCTGTATGTTCTGGTTTGGAAGAAACCAGGACATTATAAAACACATCAGCATTTCTTAAAAGTTTGGCCATAGACTGCAGGACCCGTGGGTCAGGTTTCTGGCTCTATCGTGGACCTACTGATGAATCTCTGATGGGTCCAGGAAGTAGATTTTCTACCAGTTCTATGGACGAATGTTTGCCTGCTGCTGTCTGAGAGTCAAGGTCAAAGTGCCAGCAAATCTTCATTCTTCAGCCACCTGCTGACAGGGCCTGGGGTGCTGGCCCATCAGAGGAGGACTGGGAAGTCACAGCTTGCAGCAGCTGGGGTTGGTGCCCCGGAGGCTGGGGGACGATGCGCAGGCAGACGAGCCAGGCCCCCACTCTGGGGAGCTCACAGTCCTGGCTTACTCCGGGCTGTGAGGGCAGGGGGCAGAGAGCAAGGTGGCTCCTGGGGCCAACCTGGCAGGCCAGAAGGAAGGAAGCAGGGCCAGCCAGGCAAGCTAAGTGCTCTGCAACAGCTGCAGGTAAGGGAGGGCTGGGCCAGTTCTCACTGCTGTCCCTGGACTTCAGACACTGGCTTTTGGGGTACAAAGGAGGAAAGAAAGGACAGTATGCCTCCCACCCTCCTCCCAGCCCTGAAACTGTATATGGCTGCCTGCAGCCCCTCCCTGGAGGACAGATGGCCACTGTGTGTGTGTGTGGATGGGGTCTGTGAGAGCGACCAGCGCTGCAAAGCCTGCACCCTCCCACGCCTCTGGCAGCCAGGCTGTGTATGTGACGGGCAGGACCAGGGCTGGCCTACCTGTGGCTCTCTGCTACCCTCTACCTCTTCTCCAGACACCCACCTCCCTCTCTTCCCCGAGGAAGAAAAGGCAAAGAATAACATGATTCCTCAGACTTCAGACACAAGCTTTGGATTTTGCCTCAACTGCCAGATGTGAAACAACAAGCAACTCTGAAAATGTAATTTGCTAGAAAAAAATAGTAATTTGGTGCTTCTGAGCAATTCAATGATTTAATGAGCCCAGATGGATGATGTGGGCCTTATGTATAAGAGTTGGGCATTTAACGTTTCTGTCCAGATCATTCCAAGACTGAGCTATTTTTCCTGATAGTCCCTGTTATAGACACAAAGGGCCACATGAACAGTTAAGGACAGCAGCTCCTCCCGGGCTAGGACTGTGGTGTCACCAGTCATGAGACAGCCCCGTGGTGAGTAAAGGTCATGTCAACCACGGATCACTTTCAGACACAGAACTCAGGAAACCGGAAGGCTGAACATCACAATGAATTCTTACTCCTGCACCTTGCAAGTAGCTTTACGTGTGAGGTGTGGAGTGTCCTCAGCAAATGTGTCATCTGCTCCTCCCTGACAGCGTGGGTGCCAGGGGGCACTCCAAGAGGCAGGCTCTTCTGAGCACTTGCTTCCGGGCTGTTGAGGATGCGTGATTCCCAAGCTGGTAGACTGTGATCATGGCAGAGCGGGGCCCTTTAGGAGCCTGGAAATAAGCGTATGTCTTCATCTTGAACACTAAACTCTACCATCGTCACAGGTATTATTAGTTGCCTGTAGCTGCTGTAACAAATTTCCACAGAATCAGGGGCACCATTCAGGACAAATTTCCTACTCAGAGTTCCTTAGGTCAGACATCCAATCCAGTCTCCTACCCTGAGTTCCTTCTGGAGGCTCTAGGGAGAATGCACTTCCCCCTCCGTAAGCTCCTAGAAGCTTCCTGCATTCCTGGCTGGACACTCCTTCCTCCACTTCAAAGCCAGCAATGGCCACTGGAGTCCTTACTGCATCACTCTGACCCTCTGTGCTGCCTTCTTCTACCTACAAGGACTCTGTGGTCACACTGGGCCCGCCCAGATAATCCAGGATCATCTCTCCATTTTAGATCCAGCTGGTTGGCAACCTTATTCTGCCTGCAGCCTTCATTCCTTGAGATCATGTGAGGCGACACAGTCATGGTTTGGGGGATTAGGGCATAGACATCTTTGGGAAGCCATTATTCTGCCAACTATGACACATAACAGATCAAAGCCAAAAATCTCTGAAATCCTAACAAAGCCAAACAATTCACAGGCTGGTTAGAGGTGAGGATAAATATATTGAGTGTGTGAGTACGTGAGAAAAACGACTTTCCAATCAAAAGTGGAGGAGGGGGTGCCAGTCAGCACCGGAGGGGTCATCACATTATTCTTAATGTATGTCCCACCACTGCACATTATTACATATATTATTTCATATATTATTACTGTTCTTTTTTATGCATTCATAATTTCCTAGGTTTGGATCCATGTGTTTTACAAATATTATAACTACAAATAGATATTATATCTGTACTTTGTATGTGGGGTATGGGGACTCGAAGAAGTAAGACACCTATTTGGGTGAACTGGCTGGTAAGTGGTAAGCGTGCCCATTTCTCAGAGCCACTGCACAACTTCCCCAAAGTGTGAGAGCCAGGAGGGAGGCATCCAGAGACTGGGGCAGTGGGATGGCTGGCTCGAGAAGTCCGCCACACCTGCCCAGGCTCGGCACATCCCTGCCAGGGAGACGAGGCATTAGACAATGGCACTGGGTCCGGTGACTATACCACTCTTATGTATTCCCGAAGTACCTTCCAGAAATGTGACTCCCTGCACACTGTCCATAGGGCATAATATATCCAGATGGTTTGCAAGGAAGACTTAGTAATGGGCACTCTGGTTTACACATTAGGCCTGTGGTTTTGGTGCCTATGGGTCTCCTGAGGGCTGGGCCTGCCCCTGGGGAGCTGACTTGCAGGCCTGGCCCCATGGGCCTGGGGGTAGCTCTCCAGGGTTTACTCTCCTGGGTGGCCTCCCTCCAGCCCACACTTCCTCCCTGTGGGAGCAATGTCTTCCTGAATCCTTAGGGGGGAAATGGAGAAACCTGAGGGAGTGAGTACATAGGAGACACCCACACACAGCAGCCAGAGCCCAGCTGCTCCACTCAGGGTGAGGGAAGCCCCTCCTCAGCATGCTGGTGGCAGACACCTCCTAGGAGTGTGAGCCCCGGGTGCCCTTTGTCTTCCTTCCACCGTGAACTGTAAGGTGGCCTTGCACACGCAGGCACTGTGGCATCTGCAGCAGGGAGTCTTGTTACAGCTGCTCCCCTCCAGCTGCAAGCTAAATTTTATTCAGGAACCTGCAGTGCTCTAGGCCAAGTGCTTTCTGGACCTGCCCCAGCCTGGAGATGAAGCCTTTGCATTGTGAAACCCTCACTCCGACCTGCTGGGGCTCCCCAGGACATAAGGCAGCCTATGGGCTGTACAGGGTGAGGGAAGGGGGCATTTGGGGGCTTATTAGGCAGTCGTTGGTTTCAAGCTGTATTTTGAAAACTCTCATCACTAATGAGCTGCACGGCGTGCTGGGGACAAGCAGGGTGCCAAGAATCTCTGGGTACAATAAGCCCTGATTAGATGGAATATTCACAGAATGAGAGTAATTCTCTGAACTTTCTAGTTAATCAGAGACTTTCATGATTTTTTAGAATAGGTCTTTTAAGACCTTTTATTAAGGCGTCTGGAAGTTGAGGGATGTGGGGAGAACAGAAACCCAGGGGAGATATGAGAGCATGTCTGAAATACCTAGGTCTGTCCTTCTCAGGAGCCACCAGCTTTGTGATCCGAGGCAAAGGGGCTGGGAGCCACAATCAGAAATCACAGGCAGCTGGTGGTTGGTCTCGTGGAAGGAAGAAGGTTCTGACATGAAAGAGCCACACAGTTGGAGGAGGCTCCCTGGAGGGAAGGAGAAAGAGAGAGAGAGAAGTGTGTACGTGTGTGTGGTGTGTGTATGGCATGTGTGTGCACATGTGTGGTGTGTGTGTGGAGTGTGCACATGTACGTGTGTGTGGTGTTGGGGGGGGTCTCTGTGTGTGTGCGTGTGTGGCGTGTGTATGTGTGCATGTATGTACCGTGTGGTGTGGGGCACGGTGTGGTACGGTGAGCCCGGTCTCCTCGGGGCTGGGGATGTGCAGAGGGGAAGGCAGCTCCTGGCAGTGGGCCCTGCAGTGACTGAGTCTGCACAGCAGGCGTAGGTCAGACACACAGGGCCGTGGTCACCTGTGGAGCACATGCAGGCGTCCTGGCAGGGCAAGATCCATGCAGTTTAAAGGATAGAGACACCCAGATCCCTCGGTGGGCAGATGATACATTGGGGCGACTGCTGACCGTGCTCCTCAGAGCGGCTGGGGAGCCCTAGGTTCAGTCCCTGGCTCAGCTGCTACCGAGCTGTGTGGTGTTGGGCCAATCCCTTAGCCTCTCAACAATCCTCAGCTTCTCCTCTATGGGATGGGATGTGCTCTAGGGCTCCCATGAGGGCGGAGGTACCAAGCACAAGGCCCTCGGAGCAAGGTGGGATGCTGTGGGCCCAGCCTGGGATTTGCGGCTGGCACCACACCGCCTGCAGAGTGTCTGAGTGGCACGTCACCCCTGCTAGCTCTCGCTCTAGAAGTGCGCCGGAGCATGGCCCTGCTACGGCAGTGTCAGGGACCCCCAGGCCCTGCCACATGGGGAGCCCGGTGCCCGAGCCCAGAGCACCAGCCCGGCCCCACGCCCACCCACCAGGTCTGCCTGCGGCGGTCCGTGTGGCCTGAGAGCCAAGAGTACCACCATTGGTTTTTTAAATGGTTGAAAGGCAAATCAAAGTATGAATGTTTCAGGACACAAGAAAATCACATGAAATTTAAATTCCCGGGGCCGTAAGTGGAGTCTTACCAGGAAACCCACACCCACCATTTCTGTGTTGTCTGCAGCTGCCTTCGCACTGTCACGGCCCAGCTGAGTGGTGGCAGCAGACCCCATGACATCTGCAGCATCCACCATCTGGGCCTTGACTGAAGAGGTGCATCTTCCCTCATCTACACGGAACCTCGGCCAGCCTGGCCTTGGTGCCAGAGGTCAGTGGGTGCTGGGGATAGGGGTGGCCTTCCCACCCCAGGCACCAGGGGATGCAGGAGAGGGCTGGCTGACATCAGTGTGGCAAAACAGGGCAAGGATCCTGACACATGCCAGGATCGCCTGCTCAGGAGGCCACTCGCAGTCTTACCACTTACACAGTGTTCGCTTAGAAGGGAGAGCTCATTCCCTCTCCGTGCGGTGCCCTCTAACCCTTATGTGAAGCTCTCGAAGGACCCGTCCACTGGGGGTGGGGGGGACACCAGCCTCCAGCCTTGGTAAAGTTCAACACCAAAGGCTCCTCAGGGGACCCAGTTTATTGCTCTGTACAACTCTAGGCTTAACTGTGAAATTCCTGGTTTTAGTAGAAAAGCAAATGAATATTGGCAATTTTGTGTGGTTCAACCCAAAAGATTATGTACCTTGAAGCCAGATTGTGGGTAATGCTTTCTAATGTTAAGGTGTCAGAGCTGCTTCCGGGGTGGGGCACACAGACCATGGGATCAGCCTGGGGGTCCAGTCCAGGGGTTGAGGGGGTGTGGTCCCTCACCAACGTCATTGCTCACTCTCTGGGCTCAGGACCCCATCAGTGCCAAATTTCCTGACGAATCTCTTGCACATCCTAAACTCAGGACCCCGGTGGATTCAGAATGTGAAATATGTTCCCTTCTTTCCCAAGTGTGTTTTATCTGATCCTTACCAACCAAGCTCAGGAACCGAGCAGATGTGGGTAAGAGGGACATTTGGTCAATTTAATCTGAAGATCCCCTTGTCACTGTTCCCCCCAAATGGCTCCCATCTCGGAGATTAGCCCACACCAAGGTGCCAGAGGACGTGAGCCCTGCCCCCACCCTTACCTCTCCCTGGACAAAGGCTTGGGCTCCGGACGGATGGCAGCCATGGAGAGAGGTGCTTGCCTGGAGGGGGATGAGGAGAAGTTCAGATCCAAGGAGCCCGCCTTTCTGTGCAGTGGCTCCATCCCCACAGCACCCTGCATCTCACTCTCTATGGGGCAGGAGCCTGCCCTGCCATGCATGGACAGCGAGGACACTTCGGGCCCCACGGCACCCTGGAGTGAGGTGTCTGCTGCCACCTGGGCTTCGTGGGTTGGAGAGATGGACGGTGGGGAGCGAGATTTCTTCTTGGTGGAAGCCCCAGCGAGAAGCTTCAGCAGCCCACTCTTCTTCTCTTTCTGGAAAGACACACAGAATTGAAACCCAGTGGGTTAACACCCCTACGTTATCAAGTGGTAAGGGAAGTATAATCTTACAACATAATCTTGTAAAGCACCGGTGCAGGTGCCCAGAGCAAACCCAGGAGGCCTGGGGGCAGGCGGAAGGCACTGATACCAGGGGAGGATGCTGTGGGGGTGCCCTTCTCTACAACATCCCCCCTTGCCATCGAGGACCACCCCAGACTGGCACCTTCACTGGCTGAGTCAGAGGAGCCAACAGTCAACATGATTTGGTTCTCGTTACCCAGGAGGGGAGTGTAAGCATTCTCCGTCAGGATCCTGAGATCCACTCCTTCGGCCCTTGGGTTTATAGAACCAAAGCCCATGTGTCCTGCACACATCTTTGGAAACTCTGGGCAGCACTGTAAGCAAACTTTCCTCTGCACATAATGGATTGTACCACATGGGAAACCGGAGTGTTATGTGTGCGTGTACGTGTGCATGCGTGTGCACTGCATATATTCCCTGAGAAAGTCATGTGTGGGTGGGAAGGACCACTTGTCCCAGAATCCAGGGCAGCTCCCCAGGAGGGCGTCCCCTTCGTGGGAAACATCTCGATGAAATATCTTCACCTAGCAGGTGGCTTCGTTATTTTAAGAGGAAGGGCTGCTATGGGACGTGACAACCTTCAGGTAACGGCCCTTCACACACAAAACAAATGACCTGGACAGAAGAATCTGCCGCCACAGTCACGAGGCCATCCATACGCTGTCCCACTAGACGTGCAGAGCTCTCCTGCACCAGAGCTCGCCCCCAGCTCTCACGGAGGACTCCTCATCACGCACCACAAAGCCCCCCGCCGGCGGGACGATGGGCAGAGTCTGTACTGGAGATGCCCTCAGTGCACCCTAAGCCCTAAGGAGGTTCTCTCCTTAGTCTCACATCCTGGGGCTCAGGGCAAGCTCCTGATGGGTAACGGAGAGACAGACCCAGAGAAGGGTCCAGCCGTGTCCTCGGGTACCCCGGCCCAGCCACCCTCTCTGCCCTGAACCCTTCGTAGCACTGTCAGCAGTCGGCATGCCGGCCTCCCTCAGCTTGTGCCAATCACATGGAAGCACACGCAAGGAAGCATGTGAACGCTGCCACTGACTGATGTATGTGTGTGAAAGAGAAAGTGTGTACAAGTGCTTCTAGATCAATCTAATTGCCCTGGAACTGGAGTACTTGTATGGCCTTACTCGAGTTTAGTTTTCTTTTTACAGATTTTATTTATTTATTCAAGAGAAAGAGCACTCAAAAGACATGAACATGGGGTGGGGGGGGGTGGAGGGAGAGGGAGAGGCAGACACCTTGCTGAGCAGGGAGCCCCACTTGGGGTTCAACTCCAGGACCCCGAGATCATAACCTGAGCTGAAGGCAGACGCTGAACCAACTGCACCCTCCAGACATCTCTAGAGTTTGGTTTCCTAATGTTTTGGGGGAATCAGGTGGCAGGGGCTATGGGCACACGGCGTACAAGTCTGAAACTGTAGCCACTGAGTCACCGATGGCCACAGAAGAGTCTGCTTTGGTCACTGGGCTGAGCAGACCCGGAGCTGGGCTGACAAGATTCCTCTTCCCACCTTCCTTGTCTGCATGGTTAGAGGCCCCTGGGGGTAGCGGGCTCCATGGTGCTGAAATATTCTTAAAATGCACGTATCAAAGGATGTGCACGTCCTTAAGCTAAGCCAGTAACACTTTAGCCTGAACAAGTCCATGTTTTTCTCCACTCTTAGCATTGATAGTGAAAGGAAGAATGGAAGCAGATGTCCCGAATACTGTCCCTGGTGAGGAGTTGCTGGCAGGGTGAGCAGACTGGTGGCAGCAGGTGGGTGTAGCGTAACGTGGAGAAGGGAAAACCCCGCCTGTTGATGATGTCCTGCTTCCACAGGCATCAGCGCTGGGACACACTTAGGAGAGTTTCACGAGTGTGGCCACGAGGGGGCGCAACACAGCTGGCTCAGAGGCATCCTTGTCTCCCAAGTAGCAGGGGCTCCCGAGGCCCACTACCAAGAGGTGCTGGCCGCTGGCCATGTGTGTCCGGCTTCTCATGACAACAGTCTGCTCACCCAAGGCCACAAAGGGGAGGGCCCTGGAGGTGGGCGGGGTGGTGTCTGATGATCCCTGGCCCTCTGGGAGCTCCGGAAGGCTGAGCCTGCCCAGGGGATCTAAGGAGCCATGTGGACCCCCACACCAAACACCCAGACACGGTTAGGTCAAGTCTCACGAAAGCTACGTGTGATCAAATGTTCACATCCCAGGTACTAATCCAGTGGGATGGCGAAGCTGCAGACTACAAGCGAGAATAATTTAATCTACAGCCCTGACAGTGCCCTGAGGGACAGGAGCCACCACTCGGCATGGCCTGTAATTCCCCAGGGGGACTCGGCTGGGGCCAGCTCATTCGGACCACTCGGGGGTGCAGACCAGCCCTGGCTTCAAGCCACGTGGCCTCCAGGGCATGATTGTGACGCGTGGGTGGCAGTTGGGCAGTGTGGGCACCAGTGCTGGGACAGCTCCTCCGGGCCAGGATGTTGGACTGTCGGTGGCACTATGGCAGAGGGTCCTGCTAACAATCAGTCGGGATGCCTGCGCCTGCAGGACAGTGTCTACCCTGAGCGACCCTGCCAGTGCTGTGGTCAGAGGGGCTCTGCATGGGAAAGCACCGCCACAGAGACTGTCCCCATCACCCCGGGACCAGCACTGGCTCCGGTACATCCACCTGTCTCTCCTCCATTCACAGCCAGCGTCTCTGACCACGTCAGAGCCACGTCACAGCCACGTCTTCTACATGTGACATAAAAGTGGGAGGAGACAGAATGAGGATGTGCCCAGGGCTAGCGGGGAGCTGCCTCTTGAGTTTCAGGGGTGAAACCACAGCCCTACCCGAGACACCCCAGCAGGTTACAAAATAAAAAAGGAAGGGCCGAGGGCCCAGTGTCAACCAGCACAACAGCTCCTGTGGGTCACATGGTGGTGTCCTTCTGTCTCATGGGCAGAGAAGAGGTTTGGCCAACAAACGCCCTCTTGCAAGGCACCACTGAGGGACAGAAAGCCCTGGAGCTGTGGGCCAGGCCCCGGTGGGTGTGCTGCAAGGGACACAAGACAGAGCCACCGAGCTACGGAGCAGGTTTGCAGGGAATTCTGGCCTTAGTTGTGCTCTGGAAAGAGGTGCATGAACGTGAGGGGTAATTTTCCTGCCTCAGTTCTCCACGATCAAATATGACAGATCATTCTCTTAATTTGACTTTGGCAAACACGGATATCACGACTGGAAAAAGCCTCTCCTTTGCCGTCCACGACAGAATTCTGCTAATGCCTTAAGTACTGGGGGATTACAAATGGCTGTGGAATTTGGTGAACTAGCAATTCCACGCGCACACAATTCACGAACATGTGGGTAGGTGTTCCAAGCCCTTCCCCTGGCGGTGGTCCAATTTTGGTGACACAGGTAAGAATCCACTCACAAGACTCTGAAGGTGGTGGGGAACAGACTTGACGATCAATTTTAGGAGCAACGCCATGGGACAATAAGAAGTTTTAGAGGACACAGTTTCAGGTTAATCTGGACAAAAGAAAGATGGATTTGTTGGGGTTTCTTCTGGGACCAGGACTTAATTAGGGACTTTCCTGAGCCCAGTCAGGTGCAGAGAATGGTGATCCTGCAATGGTTTTGGAGGTGGCCCTTTTAGGTATGCTGCCAGAGAGTCCCTGCTGCCCTGCACAATTTCCTGCCTGCATCTGCACCTCCCTCTATGGCCTGCCTTCCCCTCTCCAGAGGAGGAACACTTTCTATCCCAAGGCCACAGGGCAGCCATTTCAGCCTTGTGGGGGACCCTGAACAGTCTGAGCTGTGGGAACAAAAAGCCTCTCTCTTTCAGTCCTGGCATGTGGGAGGCACATCTGCAGGGAAAAGTACCCTCACCTTCCGTCTTCTCCCAATGTGAGTGATGGGCTACTCCCGTGAGTGAGAGAGGCTCCCTTCACAGTGCTCCACACAGGCAGCAGTCCCATGCTGCCTGCCTCCCCTTCCTCTGCCTCTGGAACTCACAGGAGCACAGGGGCAGCCCAGGCCAGCCTCAGGAAGGCCCAGCTCCACGTCCTGGCTCTGCCCACACTGAGCAGTTAAGATGACAAATGGCAGAGTGCTTTTTAAACTACGAATGCATGTCACAAATATTTGATTGTGTGGCTCTTTTTATGATGTGTTTATATGATGTGCTAATTTTAGGTTCTTGCAAAACACCCACCACCTAGTTAACTCCCAGTACATTTTTGTTAAATGAAGAAAATCAACTTCATTTCCACCCGAGGCAAGTGTCTCACTGTTAACCCTTGAGAGGTCCCACCAGTCAACATGGGGTCTCTTGGCTCTCCAACTTTGGCTACAAAGAACCAGCTAGGGAGTTGGATAAGTATAATGCTGGCCCCACCCTCAAAGATTCTAACTCAGCAGGTCTGAAATGGGGACAAAAGAAGTGATTCCTGATCCAGAACCCAGGAAGGGATCAATTACAAGCCACTGGTCATGTGTGACCTGCTAATGATTCCGGAAGACTACAGATGGTGCTGTAAAAACCCAGAGAAGGGACCAGCTTCAAGGGAAGGTGATTGAAACCAGGTAACTAGTTCACCGAGCACCTACTAAATGCCCAGCCCAGGGAACGTGCATGGGTTTAAAGCTGTGCTTGGGAGTGCTGACATGCACGGTGTGCTGATTCTGAGTGTCTGAGCTGTCCACTAGCTCCCAGGTGGGGCCACCTCCCTCGGTGCACTTTGAGGGGCAAGGCTAATGTACTAGTAGAGGCTCAGCAAGCAAGGCTGGCCACACCAGGCAGAGGAACAGGCTCGAGCCAAGAACTGCTGGCACCAGATGAGGTAATTCCAGAAGCCCTGCCTCTCAAGATACACATGTAGTTCTGAAAGCCTCCCTCGGCATTCTCATGTTAGGGAAGGAAGAGCTTATGAATTGCATTAAA